CCCAAAAACTAGGCCATGTTGTATATGGTTTGAAAGGTCGAATTGCGACTAACTTGAATCAATTTTCAGACTCTTAAAATATGGATTTAGAAGCGAGTTATACCAATTTTGGCTTGGTGGCCTAGAAACCCAAAACTCGGCCACATTCATAACTCGCTTCAAAATCGAGATTTTTGAAATCTAAAAACTGATTTGGGTCTGTCAGACACTGCTCTTCATGCCTAATGGAGTTTTCGCGAATTATGGATTTCTAGACCATAATACTGCTGGGATAGGTGTAAAATGAGATTTTGAGTCTAAAAATGTATCAAAATTAGCATTTTCACTGGATTTTTGCTATATTCAAAAATTCCGAAATTCCGAATTTTGACAAAAATCCAAAAGTTCAGAAATTTTAAAAATATCGGAATCCAGCCAGCTGGTTGAAGCGCCGAAGGCGCGCCATCTCTCTTTGGTGGTCTAAAAACCCAAAAAACTAGGCCATGTTGCATATATGTTTGGAAAGCCCGAAACGTAACAAATTCGAATCAATTCTCAGAACTTCAAAATATGCATTTTGAAGCGAGTTATACCAATTTTGGCTTGATGGCCTAGAAACCCAAAACTCGGCCACATTCATAACTCGCTTTAAAATCAACATTTTCGGAATCTGAAAACTGATTCTGGACTGTCAGACACTGGTCTTCATGCCTAATGGCCGAGTTTTCGCGAATTCCTCGAAATAAATGACTTTTGCATTTCCTCGAATAAATGCATTATTATTAAGGAAAGAAGAACGACATTCCGTGCCTCATTCCCTGTGCTATCGATCAGGATCCGTATTTCCGAATGTGTCGTGACGTGGCACCGCGTCTGAAGGCCTCCAAACCGTCGTTGATCTTCTCGACGTTCCTGCCAGCGCTGCAGGGAGCGCAGACGAAGATGAGCGCGTCGGAGCCGAATACGTGCATCTTTTTGGATGATACGGCGAAGCAGATTAAGAATAAGGTGGGAAATATACTGAAAATCTTTTAAAAACGATCTAAAAATGATAAAAATGGTCCAAAAATCATGAAAAACGATCCAAAAATCATGAAAAATGGTCCAAAAATCATGAAAAATGGTCCAAAAATCATGAAAAATGGTCCAAAAATCATGAAAAAAGGTCCAAAAATCATGAAAAATGGTCCAAAAATCATGAAAAATGGTCCAAAAATCATGAAAAAAGGTCCAAAAATCATGAAAAATGGTCCAAAAATCATGAAAAATGGTCCAAAAATCATGAAAAACGATCCAAAAATCATGAAAAATGGTCCAAAAATCATGAAAAAAGGTCCAAAAATCATGAAAAATGGTCCAAAAATCATAAAAAATGGACCAAAAATCATGAAAAATGGACCAAAAATCATGAAATTTTGAAAAATAAGCGAAATATTATAAAATTGGTATAAAAAATTGGGAAAAATGATCAAAATTGAACTCGTCCACAGTCTTTTTTATACGGAAATACGAAAATGATGACATTTGTCATTTTGAATGATAAATTTATGATATTGTACTTCTTATCAATTTATATCAACGAAAATTTGATATACAATATAGTTTGTAGTCTTTTTTTTTCTTCAAAAAATAATCTCTAGTTTCAACCTCATTTTAGACGATTTTGAGCCCTGAAAAATACTGAAAAAGGCATTCCATGTCTACAGTAATCCCTGAAATTGAAAATCTCAACAAAAATTTGAAATTACAGTTTAGTCTACAAGTAGATTTAGAATTCTGAAAGCTGAGGATTACTGTAGCGTGTCGAAATTCCGAAAAAATTATTCGGTAACTACAGTAATCGTAAGAAATTTGGGGACAACGCCCCCCATCAAAATTCAGAAATCCACAGAAAATTGGAAGATTTTAATGTTTTGCGAAATTTAGGATTACTGTTGATCTGGTACTGCCTAGCCGCCAGTAAATTTGGATTTTCCTACTTCTGAGTAGTAGCAAAATGCAATTTTATAACTAGTTTCTTCATTAATTACCACCCAATTAATTACTCCAATTAATTAATACTGCAGGTCAACAAGTACCAAAAAACTAAGCCAAAAATCTTGATTTTGAAGCGAGTTATGAACGTGGCCGAGTTTTGGGTTCCTAGGTCACCAAGGCAAAATTGGTATAACTCGCTTCAAAATCCATATTTTGAAGTTCTGAGAATTGATTCGAATTTGTTACGTTTCGGGCTTTCCAAACATATACATCATGGCCTAGTTTTTCGGGTTTCTAGGCCGCCAAACTGAGATGGCCTAGGAGTCCGAATTTCGCGAAAACTAGGCCATCATGTTGCATATATGGTTGGAGAGCCCGAATTGCGACGAATTCGACCCAATTTTCAGAATTTCAAAGTATGGATTTAGAAGCGAGTTATGAATGTGGCCGAGTTTTGGGTTCCTAGGCCACCAAACTAAAATGGGGTATAACTCGCTTTGAAATTCATATTTTAAAAAAAAGAAAATTGATTCCGGTTAGTCACAATTCGGGCTTTCAAACTATATACATTATGACCTGGTTTTTTGGGTTTCTAGGCCACCAAACTGAGATGGCTTATAACTCGCTTCAAAATCAACATTTTCGGAATCTGAAAACTGATTGGGGACTGTCAAACTCTGCTCTTTAAAACTCATATTATTTAATATCTTAATTACCGTCCAATTAACCCTAATCAACTTTCAGATCAACAAGTACGCGTTCTCCGGCGGCCAACAAACTCTCGAGGAGCACCGTGCGAAGGGCGGCAACTGTGACGTGGATATCAGTTATCAGTTCCTTCGATTCTTCCTGGACGATGATGAGAAGCTGGAGGAGATTCGCGTCAAATACACTAAAGGAGAACTTCTGTCCGGAGAGCTGAAGGCGTTGGCAATCGAAGAGGTCCAGAAGATTGTCGGAGTGATGGCCGAGAGACGGAAGACTGTGACCGATGCGACCGTTGATGAATTCACCAAGATTCGCCCGTTGGCTTTTGAGTATTAGGCGAATGATTTTTGGGAAAAAATGATCTTTGTTTTTTTGTCTGAAAATTGTTATTTAAAGGTCTGAAAATGGCCTAAAATTGTCTATTTAAGGTTAAAGTAGTCTGGAATGGCCTATATTGTTAGCCTGAGAACGTGAAAGAACGGTCCAAAAAAATTTATTTTAAGCCTAAAAAATGGTCTAGAATGATGATTACTTTTAGCGTAAAAACCAAGCCCATTTCGAAACAAGTCCAAAAATGGTCCGAATTTGCCTATTTTCAGCCTAAAATGGCCTTTTTTTGATCTAAAAATTTCAAATTTTTCGACCGAAAACGATCAATTCGCACCCAAATGTTCCCTTAGTTTTTTCTATCGATTGTTGAGCTTTTCCCCCCTATTTTTTGCCCGATATTTACTCGTGTTCCCCGTTGTTGCTTTTTCCTTTTTCATCTTCCCATTTCTTTCAGCGATTTTTCAGATTTTTGGAATTCTGAAATTTGTCTGAAATTCTGTTATTTCCCCCTCCCTATCCCCTATCCCCCTATCATCGCTCTCATAAGAAATCATAATTTAATTGTTTTTTTTAAAACTTTTTTCAAACTTTAAAGGGGGACTCCGACCAGAAATTTTAATTGCATTAAAATGTGTTAAAAGTTATCTATTTTCCGAATATTATTGCGAAAAAATTCAAAAAAAAATCCGAAATTCCCAAAAAACGGCGTCGAAAAGGAAGAAAATTCAAAAAAAAGTGCCGCCGGGGGACGAGGATTTTCAGTGAGAAACCTAGGCCACGGCACCTGACAGCCTTTTTTTCAAGTCGCCGACAGTGGTTTTTTACGTTTTTTTACCTGCCGGACATGAAATTGAAAAAAATCCGGAAAATTTGCCACGTAGGAAAGGCGCCCGCTGCCGTGGCCTAGGTTTCTCACTGAAAATCTTCGTCCCCCGGCGGCACCTTTTTTTGAATTTTCTTCCTTTTCGACGGCGTTTTTTGGGAAATTCGGATTTTTTTTAAAAATTTTTTCGCAATAATATTCGGAAAATAGATACCTTTTAACACATTTTAATGCAATAAAAATTTTCGGTCGGAGTCCCACTTTAAAGTTTTTTCCTTTTCAGTAAAATGTATTCTAAAAATGATGGATTTTTAATTTATATTTTCTTTTCTGCTTTCCTTCTTCTCTTCTTCCCTTCTTCTTCTATAAATATAATGCACTTTTTTTGTTTGTTTAAATGACCCGGATTTTTGGAAGCTCTTCGGACTTGAAATAAATGAAAGTATTAAAAATATACTTTACTTTTGTCTGTCTCGAAATTTCAATTCATTTAATATTTTCAAAAAAAATTGAATTTCAGAAATTTCTGAATTTCTGAATTTCCAAATTTCCGAATTTCTGAATTTCTGAATTTTTGAATTTCTGAATTTCAGAAATTTCGGAATTTCCGAATTTCTGAATTTCTGAATTTCTGAATTTTTGAATTTCCGAATTTCAGAAATTTCTGAATTTCCGAATTTCTGAATTTCTGAATTTCAGAAATTTCGGAATTTCAGAAATTTCTGAATTTCTGAATTTCTGAATTTCCGAATTTCTGGATTTCTGAATTTCTGAATTTTTGAATTTCCGAATTTCTGAATTTCTGGATTTCTGGATTTCTGAATTTCCGAATTTCTGAATTTCACAAATTCCTGAATTTCGGAATTTCTGAATTTCCGAATTTCCGAATTTCTGAATTTCTGAATTTCAGAAATTTCAAGTTTTTTTTTCAATTTTTCAAAAAACTGAAAAAACCAACAAATTAGGCTCCGCCCCTTTTCTCTAACCCCTTCTTTTCCCCCAAAAAAAAAACCCCAAATCCCGTTTTTTTTCTCTTCTCTGAGCCAGAAAAAAAAGAAGCACCATAAAAAATTTGCAATTTAAAATCGTTTCAAAATCTGTGTGTTTTCTCTAAAAATGCAAATTTTCGAAATCCCATTTTTACGAAATTTGGTCCCAAAAAAAATTTTTTTTTGAAAATTCTAAATTCTGAAGCCGCCTAATTAGATGACGTGGGGCGAATTCTAAGAAGCACGGCTTCTGGAAATTTCCGGTTTATTACGAATTTTCTGGAAAATTTTGATTTTCCAAGATTTCCGGTTTTTAATTAGGAAGGATGTTGGGGGGCGGCGGCTGCTCTAATTACCCCCAGAGAGGGGTACTGTAGTGGACGGAGTCCACAGGCGGAGCTGAATTATTCAGAGCCAGAGTAGCTTTGGTTTTCATTTTTCATTTTGATTCAAAGAGAAATTTTTTTTTGAAATTTTTTTTTCAAAATACCGTAACTTTTTTGATCTTCTCTTAAAACCAAAAATTCTTAAAATTTTAAACCCGGCAAGTCAAGAGCTTCAAAATGAGTATAATCTTGTCTATATTTGAAAAAATTCGGAAATTCCAAATTTTCGTGGTGGGACCCAAATTTTTTGAAATTTCGTTTTTTTTAAATATAGGCGTGTTTATACTCATTTTAAAGCTCTTGAAATGACAAAACTGAAAATTTAAATTTGAAAAACATCTGAGCCAAAGTAAGAAAGATACGGTAGTTTGAAAATTTTGAAAAAAAAAGTTATGTCCAAAAAAATTTTTTTCTCAATTTTTTTTTTCAAATTCCCGCCAGATCACTTTTCAAATACTTCAGGTAAAATGAAAGTGCAAATAGTGGCACTTGTCGCCGTATGGTTCACCGTCATGCAGCTCTACGCCACCCACGCGGCGAGTCTCTACTTGACAGGTACCGTAATCTCTAAATTTCAAAAAATAAGCATTGGTTTTTTGATTTTTAGAATATCTGAAAATTGAGCAATTTTTTAAGCTTAAAACCAGAAATAATCGGGCGAAAATGAGCCAAGATATGATGATTTGAAAATTTTCGAATTTTCGAAAAAAAAATTTTTTGACTGAAAGTCTGTAAAACTACAGTAACTCGATCAGTTTTGGCCCAAACTCAAAATTTTAAACTGTATTAAACTTTGCAAGTTAAGAGCTTCAAAATGAGTATAAACTTGCTTAACTTCAAAATCCGGAAAATCTGGAAAATGAGCAATTTTTGAAGCCTATAACCAGGAAAATTGGTTGAAAATGAGCTTTTTTGAAGAGTTTCCTACTGTAGTTTTGTAGTTTGTAGACTAGTCTGAGCAATATTGCATTTCCAAATTTTTGCAAGTTAAGAGCTTCAAAACGAGTATGAACTTGCCTAACTATTCGGAAAACTTGCAAAAAATAGTTGTTTTGAAAAAAATTTAGCTGAAAATCAGTTAAACTACTGTAACTCGATCAATTTTGGTCCAAATTAAAAAATCACACATCTATCAAATTTTGCAAGTTGAGAGCTTTAAAATGAGTATAAACACGACTACATTCGGAAAAATGTGAAATTTCCAGATTTTCGTGGCGAGACCCAAAAATTTGAATTTTCACATTTTTGGGAATATAGGCGTGTTTATACTCATTTTGAAGCTCTTGACTTGCGAAATTCGATAAGTTTTGAATTTTTGAAATTTATCGAAAATTGGCCAAGTTACGGTAGTTTTACTGGAAAATTACAAAAAAATATAGTTTGCTGAAAATCATTAAAACTACCGTAACTCGATCGACTTCAAAAATTCAAATTGCGTCCAATTGAACTAGTTATGCGCTTCAAAATAAGGATAAACACGCCTATACTTCAAAAAGTCGAAAATTCCGAAATTTTGGGTCCTACCACGAAAATTTGGAACTTCCAAAAATTCCCGAATATGATCGTGTTTATGCTCATTTTAAAGCTCTTAACTTGCAAAGTTTAATATAGTTCAAATTTTTGAGTTTGGACCAAAACTGAGCGAGTTACAGTAGTTTTACTGATTTTCAGCCAAAAAAAATTTTTGGAATTTTTTTCCAAACCCCAATTGTTATGGTTTTAAGCTCAGAATTTTTCCAATTTACAGTTTATCAATGATTCCAGGTCTACCATTGGAATCTGAACGAACCGTGAAACGAAGCGCCCTGCTGCAACCGGAGAACAATCCAGAATGGAATCAGTTGGGATGGGCGTGGGGAAAGAGGAGTGCGCCGGCAAGCGAGGTACGGTAACTTTATTTTTTATTTGATTTTGAAAATGTTTAGATTTTCCCAGTCATTTCATGCTAAAAATCATAAAAATCGGTTGAAAATGAGCTGAGATAGCGGGGTTTGAAATGTTAGGAAATTTTAGGAAAAATCAATTTCTTGGATTTCCGTAACTTTTTCAATTTTCGAGAAAAATGAAAAATTGATACATTTTTGAATCCACCAAGAAAAGAGCTTCAAAATGAGTATAATCATGCCTATATTAAAAAAAATTTTTTTTTAATAGTCGTGGTGGGACCCAAAAATTTTCGAAAGTTTCGATTTTTTCAAAACATAGGCATGTTTATACTCATTTTGAAGCTCTCGACATGGAAAAGCTGAAAATTTAGGTTTGAAAAAAATTTGAACAAGGATAACAGAGATACGGTAGTTTAAAAAAAAATTTTTTTTTCGAAATTTCAATTTTTTAAAAATTCAAAGTTTCAGATTCCGCGCCGTTTGGTCCGTGCGCTGCATCCAGTAAAAAAGAATCCGGATTGGAACGATTTGGGATTCGCTTGGGGTCGAAAATAATTTTTTTTAAATTTTGATCTACCATATATAATTTTTTCGATCCCCCATGTGTGCAAATTGTTGTTTTCTGTGTGTGCACTCTCTCGATTTCAAACACTCTCTCGTTTTTTTTTCTCAGCGTCTCGAATTTTTTAATAATCTATCTTTTATTGATTTTATCGATTTCCCTCTCTTTTTCGGAATTTCTTTCTCCCAGGATAAAAATGGACAATGTTAAATTGCTTTTTTTTTGGTTTTTTTGAATCAGAAACTTTTTGAAACTGAATCTCAAATTTAGAGCTTGAAATTCCAGATTTTTTGAGCCTAAAACCAAAATATTTGGCTAAAGATGAGCCAAGATAAGATTCGTTGAATTTTTTTTTGAAAATTTTCAAAAAAAAAATTTTTTTTTGGATTGTTTGTTACTGTAGTTTTGTAGTTTGTAGTCTGGGAAGATTGAAGTATATTTTTCCAAATTTTACAAGTTAAGAGCTTTAAAATGAATGTAAATGTGCCAAGTTTTTTTGGAAAAGTTAAAAAAATTAATTTAAAAAATTTTGGAAAAAATTTTTTCTCGAAAAATATAAAAAGTTCCATAACTCATTTAGTTAGTTTTTTGACAATTCTGATAACTTTTGTATTTTTGAAATTGTTGTTGAATTAGCTTCAAAATGAGTATAAACATGACTAGATTTGAAAATTTTTTGAATTTTCCCATAACTCGCTAGGGAAGACCCCAACTCGGGTGTGGCGATACGGTTGGTGATCTATATGATCTGAAAGCTGACAGTTTGCTGATTTCAAATCTGTTTTCAAAAATTGCTTTGCCCCAGTAGTTTTCGAGAAATTTGGGTCGAAAGTTTCGTAAGCTAAAGTTTTTGAAAAAAAACATGACTAGGTTTGAAATTTCAAACTTTTGAAAGATTGGGATTTTCAAACTTTTAGGATCAAAATCACAACATTTGTAAAAATGGCCATAACTCGGCTAATTTTGGTACAATTTCGAAAATTCAAAAAGTATTCATTTTTGTCGATTCAGAGATTTAAATAAATATAAAAATGACTGATTTAAAGTTTTTTGACAAAACTGAATTACTGGGATCAAAATAACAAAAATTTATCAATGTTAGTTCTTTTTTTAAAAAACTAGTTTTAGGTTATTTTGACCGGAAGACGTAAAAATACTTGTAATTTGTATGTTTGGTATTTTGATCATGTCAAATTAAGGTCATTTGGGCAAAGTGCAAAGATTAGAAAGATTAAATTTTCGAGGTTAAAAAATATTTTTAAAAAATTGAAAAACAGAAAAAAGAAAAATTAGAATTCTGAAATTCCGGGAAAGAAGCTAGGATATACCTGAAAAAATGTTATTTAAATATTTTTTTGCACTTTTTGGAATTTTAAGTTTCGAAGTGTCGTAAGCCACTTTTTATATCTTTCACAGAAAATGAGATACAGTACCGATCAGAAAGATGTAAAGAATGTATTTGTTTGTCGATTTTCAGCCATTTCCAGGAGTCTGAGGTTCGGCTATCAAGTGTCCCATTGCTTTGAAAATGTTGGATAATTTGGAACAGACCTAGATTGAAAACTTTGTATTCACAGAATTTTTTGAAAGTTTCTAGTTTTCCAGATTTCTGCCGGAAAGGCACCTACCTGAAGCCCCCTTCTATTCTTCCAAGCCCCTCTCGGAGGGCCCTTCTATTAGAGGAACCCTTCTAATACAGGTTTTACGGTATGTTTATTGTATTGACCAGTACTGGGCTTAACATTAAGAGGACTATTCTAATGGTTTCTACAGTACCTTGGCTCATTTTAAACCAATTATATGACTCAAAAATAATTTTGGGATTGTGATCCCAAAAATTTCAAAAAAGTTTAAACCTAGTCATGTTTATACTCATTTTGAAGGTTTTATCTTACAAAGTACATTATTTTTTGAATTTTCAAGATTGCACACAAATCAGCCGAGTTATGATTAGTTTTACAAAACTTGCGATTTTGATTCCAAAAATTCCAATTTTCGAAATTTTCGAAATCTGCAAATATGGTTGTGTTTATACTCATTTTGAAGGTTTTATCTTACAAAGTACATTACTTTTTGAATTTTCAAGATTGGATCAAAATTAGACGAGTTATGGCGATTTTACCAATTTTCGCGATTTTGATCCTAAAAAGTTGAAAAATCGCGAAATTTTGATATTTTTCAAAACTAGTCGTGTTTGTACTTTTTTTGAAGCTCTTAGTTCACAAAAAATTATACTTTTAAAATTTTTAGGATTGGACCAAAATTAGCCGAGTTATGGGGGTTTTAACAATGTTTGTGATTTTGATCCTAAAAAGTTGAAAACTCGCGAAATTTTAAAATTTTGAAATCTAGTCGTGTTTATATTCATTTTAAAGCTCTTATCTTAGCGTTAAACTTGCTAAACACAAAAATTCTAATTTCATATATTTTGGACTTAATCTAAATGGGTTACGGTAGATTTCAACACTCTTTGGGGCTCATAAAGTTCTAAATATCAAAATGTATTATTTTTTGAATTTTTGAAACTGGACCAAAATTAACCGAGTTATGGGGTTTTAACGGTTGTGGTGATTTTGATCCAAAAATTCAAAAATTTGAATTTTTCAAAAAATTTTAAATTTCAAACCTAGTCGTGTTTATACTTATTTTGAAGCTCTTAACCTACAAAATTTAATACTTTTTGAATTTTCAAGATTGCACACAGCCGAGTTATGACACTTTGAATATATAATTGGGAATTTCGGTTCTAACATATGATTTACAGTACCTTGGCTCATTTGAAACCAATTTTTTCCGACTTTTTTGACGCTTACTTATCCAAAAACGGTTCTCATGATCCTTGATTTATCTTGTCTTGTTCTGGACGAAAAAGGAAGAAAACAAGAAGGGTGATATGACTCAAAAAAAGTTCATCGAATACAACATTCTTGGTCTTCTTGTGATCTCTCATTTTAGTGTGGTGTGGTCAGATACAATACGTATAAAAACAGTACCCAGCCAGCTACAAAGACATAACATTTTCATTTTCATTTGTCTTCTAACGTCATCTGGTCACTTCTGATTCGTGTTTTCACGTGGGGGACGTCTTCTTCTTCTTCTGTTTGTGATCTCTAAACCAAAAAACTGGGAAAAGGGAGAAAAAGTTTGGCTTATTCTGTTTAGCGAATAATTTTCCTTCCAAATGAATTGTCCGAATGAACGGATTGAGGGAGAAAAATACATATAAATTAGAGGGATAGAAGATTCTTCTAGAATATTTTCTGTTAAAATCAGAAAGTCCCAAACTTTAGACTTTTCCTCTTTTGATAGCCCTTATCATCTTTTTTTCAGGGTTTTTGAGCTCTCTTCTGAGATTAGGGACATCTTTCCATCCTGAAGAAACATACTAGAGGTTTCAGGAGCAGTTAAAACTAAAAATCTCAAAAATCGGATAAAAACTCAGATAGTTGGAACATTTAGAACTTTATGAGCCCCAAAGAGTGTTGAAATCTACCGTAACCCATTTAGATTGAGTCCAAAATATATGAAATTAGAAGTTTTGTGTTTAGCAAGTTTAACGCTTCAAAATGAGTAAAAACACGACTATTTTTGGAAAATTTTGAAAATTTTGAATTTTGGGATCAAAATCACAAACATTGTTAAAACCCCCATAACTCGGCTAATTTTGGTCCAATCTTGAAAATTCAAAAAGTACTGTACTTTGTAAGATAAGAGCTTTGAAATGAATATAAACACGACTAGATTTCAAAATTTTGAAATTTCGCGAGTTTTCAACTTTTCAGGATCAAAATCACAAACATCGTTAAAACCCCCATAACTCGGCTATCTTTGGTCCAATCTTGAAAATTCAAAAGGTACTGTACTTTGTAAGATAAGAGCTTTAAAATGAATATCAACACGACTAGATTTCAAAATTTTGAAATTTCGCGAGTTTTCAACTTTTTAGGATCAAAATCACAAACATCGTTAAAACCCCCATAACTCGGCTATCTTTGGTCCAATCTTGAAAATTCAAAAGGTACTGTACTTTGTAAGATAAGAGCTTCGAAAAAAAATAAACACGACTAGTTTTGAAAAATATCAAAATTTCGCGATTTTTCAACTTTTTAGGATCAAAATCGCGAAAATTGGTAAAATCGCCATAACTCGTCTAATTTTGATCCAATCTTGAAAATTCAAAAAGTACTGTACTTTGTAAGATAAGAGCTTTAAAATGAATATAAACACGACTAGATTTCATAGTTTTGAAATTTCGCGTTTTTTCAAATTGCCATAACTCGGCTAATTTGGTCCAATCTTGAAAATTCAAAAAGAGCTAAAGTTGATAAAATAAGAGTTTCAAAATGAGTATAAACACGACTAGATTTGAACATTTCAAAACACCGCTAAACATCAAAACAAGCGGCTGCTCCCAAATTCTCAGATGTCCATTTTGATTCTAGTATTTAAAACTTCCGAAGTTCCTCAAAATGATACAACCTGGTTCGAGTACATCAACTTGACCTAGACATAATAATTAATTGTCTAATTAGTACCCCTACGTTAATAGGCGTAAATGAACACACCACGTACAAATAGTATCATCTTCTTCTTTTCTTTTACTTGTCTAATTGAGATTTCAAGGTTAAGTAGTGCGAATTTCGGAAGGAACTATATGTACATAGTTTAAAAACAATAGAATCCGAAAAGAACAACAGTAAACAGTACCTCGAATTAATTAATTTGCCTGCAGGGGGTCTAAAAAATGGGCGGAGCCTAATTGTGTCATCCCTATTGTTTGACGGTCAGAAATTTCCAGAACAACAGAATCGTTTCTTATTTAGAATTTCTGGTTTTTGATTTGTCTTATTTATTATACAACAATGTGTTAAAACTTGTACAATTGACATCATTTAGGGGGGGGGGGGGGGGGGAAGTGGGCGGAGCCTATAAAAGAAACAATAGAGTGACCATAATAGTGGTTCTCTTTTATTGTTCAGAGTGATGACATTTATTTACTTTTTGAATTTAGGGAATTTATAGGGTATCTGTATTTGTGTAGTGTTGTGTATTATAACGGTCGAATTGTCAATTTTTTGAAAAAATCCCCAAATGTTTAACCAATTTGAATTCGGTCATGTTTAAACTCATTTTAAAGCTCTGAACCTTCAAAATTTATTACTTTTTGAATTTTTGAAATTGGACCAAAATTAACCGAGTTATGGGAGTTTTAACGATTGTGGTGATTTTGATCCAAAAATTCAAAAATTTGAATTTTTCAAAAAATTTGAAATTTCAAACCTAGTCATGTTTATATTTATTTTGAAGCTCTAAACCTACAAAATTGAATACTGTTTAAATTTTCAAGATTGGACCAAAACTAGCCGAGTTATAGCGATTTTACCAAAAATTTGTGATTTGATCCGAAATATTCGAAAAATTTCGAAAGATTCGAAAAATTTCGAATCTAGTCATGTTTATACTCATTTTAAAGCTCTAAATCTGAGAAATTAGAATCTCTTTAAACTTTTAAAATTGGACCAAAACTAACCGAGTTATGGCGATTTTACCAAAATGTGTGATTTTGATCCCAAAATTTTCAAAATTTTTGGATTTTTTTAAAAGTTCAAATCTAGTCATGTTTATACTCATTTGAAAGCTCTAAACCTACCAAATACAGTACTTTTTGAATTTTCCAGATTGGACCAAAATTAGCCGAGTTATGGCGTTTTTTACGAATTCCCTGATTTTTGATCTCAAAATTTTCAAATTTTTTGGATTTTTCAAAATTTTCCAAAGTCATGTTTATATTCATTTTGAAGCTACAGACTTTCTAAACACAAAAATTAAAGTTTCACAAATTTTGGACCCAATTTGAATGGGTTACGGTAGATTTTAATTTTTTCGGATCGAAAAAATTCAAGTTCATATACTTTTAAAAACTCTAACTTTCTAAATTTCCATCCGATTTTTGTGATTTTAGGCTTAAAATGATACTGAAACACTCCGGTATTTTTTAAATGTAATTTCCAATTAAGTTTCTTGTTCCTAAATTCATAAAAACACTTCAAAAATTGTCATGTGACCAAAAAATTTCATAACACACACTACAAGATCTCTAGCCTACGGATAGTCCAAATCATCTTCTGAAGCGACGGCGTGTGACTGTGTGTTCTATTTTGTGTCCTTATCACTCTAGGCTCCGCCCACTATCCGACATAAAAACTGGGACGAATCTTTGAAGATTAGGATGGTTTTTTGGACTTTTTGGAAAAAATTGATTTTTTTGATTTTGTACTAATTCTATTATATGGACTTTAAACTTGACCTATTCTTGCCCTTATCTTGCCCATTTTTTTTTCAGCCAAAATCTGATTTTTTCAGCTAAAATGCGGCTACCCACCGCCAAATATGAGGTTCATATGCGAAAATTTTTCTATAAATTTGGATTTTTCATTGGGACGCATCCAAGGAAGTGTATTGGGTTCTTGCTATTAATCACCGCCGTTTCGTGTTTGGGATTTTTGAGATTTCATCAGGTAAGCCAAAAATCACGAAAATGGTGTGAAAATGACCATAACTCGGTTAGTTTTGGTCCAATTTTAAAAGTTTAAAAAGATTCTAATTTCTCAGATATAGAGCTTTAAAATGAGTATAAACATGACTAGATTTGAAATTTTTCGAATTTTTGGGATAAAATCACAAATTTTAAATGTAAAATCTCCATAACTCGGCTAATTTTGGTCCAATCTTGAAAATTCAAAAAGTATTAAATTTTGTAGGTTTAGAGCTTCAAATTAAATATAAATATGACAAGATTTTAACTTTTAAAAAAATCCAAAAAATTTGAAAATTTTGGGATCAAAATCACACATTTTGGTAAAATCGCCATAACTTGACTAGTTTTGGTCCAATCTTAAAAATTCAAGAAGTAATAAGTTTTGTAGATTTAGAGCTTTAAAATAACTGTAAACATGACTAGGTTTGAAATTTCTAATTTTTTGAAAAATTCAAAATTTTGAATTTTTGGATCAAAATCACCAAAATCGTTAAAATCGCCATAACTCAATTAGTATTGGTTCAATTTTAGAAATTCAAAAAGTTTCAAATTTTGTAGATTTCGAGCTTCAAAATGAGTATAAACATAACTATGTTTTTCCTTGGATTGAAATTTCGAAGAAAAAACGTTTTTTCGTTGTTGGACCCAAAATTTTTGAAATTCTGATTTTCTCAAAATATAAGCTTGTTTATACTCGTTTTGAAGCTCTTGACATGAAAAAACTGAAAATTATATTTTGAATAAAAAAAAAATAGATACGGTAATTTTTGAAAAAACTTCAAAAAAATTTTTTTTTCGAAAATTTTTTAAAGAATTTTTTTGTTGAAAGTTTCAAACATAGCCATGTTTATACTTATTTCGCAGTTCTTGATTAGAAAAACTTAGTACTTTTTGAATTTTCCAGATTGAACCAAAATTAGCCGAGTTTAGCCGAGACCATTTCACCAAGTTTTGGGACTTTGATCCAAAAAATTTGAAATTTCAAATCTAGCCGTGTTTATATTTATTGAAGCTCTAAACCTACGAAATACAGTACTGTTTAAATATTTGAGATTGGACTAAAATTAACCGAGTTACGACGTTTTTGACGATTTTGGTAATTTTGATCCCAAAAATTTGAAAATCCCGATTTTTCAAAAAATTTGAAGTTTCAAGTCTGGTTATGTTTATACTCATTTTAAAGCTCTAAACCTACCAAATACAGTACTTTTTGAATTTTCGAGATTGGACCAAAACCAACCGAGTTATGAAGATTTTGGTGATGTTGATCCCAAAAGTTCAAAAAGAATTTTTTTTGTTTTTGTTGTTTTTTAAATTAAATTAATTAAAAAATTTTTTTTCATCGTTTTCCAAAGTACAAACATTCAAAGTTCTTGAGATTAAAAAAAGACAAATGACGTCATTTAATTTTTTTCGAAAAAATCCAAAAATTGAATTTTTCAGATCAACAACGCCCGTGTGACATTCACCGCTCATGACTCGCCCAGTCACACCGAGGGCGCCATGTTTTTCGATTTTTTGAGACAAAATGGGACACTTCACATGATTGAGGTATGGGACTACAAAGACTACAAAAACTACAAAATACTTTTTTTTTTGAGGTGACAAAAAAGAAAAAGTGACCAGCGAAAACTGGTTCTTAGAGACAGGGTGATTGATAGGAGAAGAAGTTGTACTTGAGACAGAAAACACTAGAAAAAACTGTTGAGGTCAAAATTTGGGAAAAAAAAATTGGAAAAATTTTTTTTTTTGAATCCCAAAATTTTTCAAAATCCCAATTTTTTGAAAAATTTACACTTGTTTTGGATAACGATCAATTTTCAGAGAATTTAAGTTTCAAAAATAAATTCTGCAGGCGATTTCCGACATTTCGATACCCATATTGCCTAGGATTCGTTAAGTTTGAAATTTGCCCATCAGGTGGGCAAGGGATGGGCAAAAATTGAAGGTTTCAAATCTAGTCATGTTTATACTCATTTTGAAGCTCTAAACATACTAAATACAGTACTTTTTGAATTTTCAAGATTGGGGCAAAATTAGCCGAGTTATGAAGGTTTTACCAATTTTTGGGGTTTTGATCCCCAAAAATTTGAAAATCACGAAATTTCAAAGTATTTCAAATTTCAAATCTAATCGTGTTTATATTAATTTTGAAGTTTTTATAAAATTTGAAACATTTTGGTACCCATATTGCCTAGGTTTCGTTAAGTTTGAAATTTGCCCATGAGATGGGCAAGAGGTGGGCAAAAAATTGAAAATTTCAAATCTAGTCATGTTTATACTCATTTTGAAGCTCTTATCCTACAAAATACAGTACTTTTTGAATTTTTAAGATTGGAGCGAAATTAGCCGAGTTATAGGGGTTTTTACCAATTTTGGTGATTTTGATCCCAAAAATTTGAAAATCTTGATTTCAAAAAATTTTGAAATTTTGAACCTAGACATGTTTATACTTCATTTGAAGCGCTAAATGTATTAAATTCACTGTGTTTTAAGTTTTCGAGATTGGACCAAAATTTGCCTAGTTATAACGATTTTAACGATTTCAGTGATTTTGATCCCAAATTCACAATACACGATTTTTTCAAAAATTTTCAAACTGAGTCATGTTTATACTTATTTTGAAGCTCTAAATCTACAAAAATTGGCATTTTTTGAGTTTTTGAGATTAGTACAAAATGAACCGAGTTATTGGGTTTTTACCAATTTTGGTGATTTTGATCCCAAAAGTTTCAAAATCCCAATTTTTGAAAAACTTAAAAGTTCAAACCAAGTCATGTTTATACTCATTTTAAAGCTCTTACCCTACAAAATACAGTACTTTTTGAATTTTCGAAATTGGAGCAAATTTTGCCGAGTTATGACGTTTTTAACAATTTTAGTGATTTTGAGCCTAAATTCACAAAATCACGATTTTTCAAAAAATTGAATTTTCAAACCCAGTCATGCTTGTATTCATTTTGAAGCTCTTAACCTACAAAATACAGTACTTTCAAAATTTTTGAGATTGGACAAAAATTAGCCGAGTTATGAAGGTTTTACCAATTTTTGGGATTTTGATCCCAAAAATTTTTTTTTGAATTTGTTTGAATTTTTTTTCAAAAATGGTATTTTTTCTATATTTATTTTTTTACAGTATCCCCTAGACAGCTACTCTTATCATCTTATCAGAAGATCTCCGATCATTCTGACGTCACCGAAAAAAGAAAATTAGTAAAAGAAGGAAAAAGCAGTGTATGATCCTTTAAACATGCTATGTGTTAGTATATCAATTATATCAGTGATAAGAAATAAAAAGAACACATTTGTAGTTTGTAGTTTTTGTAGATGAGAAAAAAAATTTTTCAAAAATTTTTTCATAAAATTTTCAAATGTCCATATCTCCTTCAATTTTCAACACTTTGAAAAAATTCTTTTTTTCCTAGAATCCCCAATTTTTTCTCTTTCAAAAAATACCAAAATTTTTAGGTCCTATTCCAAGCCTCGGACAATGGAAGCCTTCTTCGACCAGCCTATCGTCATCAGCTATTGGGAATTTCCAAAGAAATCGTCCAAAATCTTACTGTAACTACAAACGGCAAATCGCAGACGTACGGGGATATGTGTGAACCGTACTGTGAGAAAAACGACGCATTTTTTGCCATGATGGACATTTTTGAGACAAATTCTACGGACTCTTTTGAGGTATGGGCAAAAAGTTTTTTTTTTGAAAAACATTTTTTTTTTCAATTTTTCAAAATTTTGTAACTTTGTCAATTTTCTAGATTTTCTATTGATTTTTAGCTTAAAATGTGTAAAATTAACCGGGCTTTCAGATAAAATAAAAGGCAATATGATTTATCTCAGAAATTTTCGAGTAAATGCGCTCCAATGATATCCAACCAGCTTTTTGTGATTTTGATTCCAAAAAATTACAAAATCCCTAATTTTCAAAAAATTTGAAATTTCAAATCCACTCATGTTTATAGTCATTTTAAAGCTCTGAACCTAAAAAATACGGTATTTTTCAAATTTTTAAGATTGGACCAAAATTAGTCGAGTTATGGTAATTTTTACGAATTGTGTGATTTTGATCCCAAAAAATTCAAAATCACAAATTTTCTGAAAAATTGAGATTTCAAACCTAGCCATGTTTATATTCATTTTAAAGCTCTAAATCTACAAAATACAGTACTTTTTGAATTTTTAAAATTGAAGCGAGATTAGCTGAGTTATGACGATTTTTAAGATATTTGTGATTTTGATCCCAAAAATTTGAAATTTTTCATCCGATTTTTCAAAATATTTGGAATTTCAAATCTAGTCATGTTTATATTCGTTTTGAAGCTCTAAACCTACAAAAAAAATTAATTTTTGAATTTTTAAGATTGGAGCAAAATTAGTTGAGTTATGGTAATTTTATCAAAAGTTGGTATTTTAATCCCAAAAATTCAAATTTGCCAAAAATGAATTTTCAGCTCACCTACCCAACCACCCAAATTCTTGGCCATCAAATGCTCTTGGCCAATAACATCTATGGGGTCAAGACAAGGGCAGAGGATCGGCAAATCCTATCATTCACTTCTGTGATTTTAAGATTCTACCTAACGAGCCCAGCCCTTCAACCAATGCTAGATTTTGAAGATGAGGTCGTAAAACTGGTTTATGACTCTGGAAAATACCATTTAATCGCTGGGCAAGTTGCCAGTGACAATTTGGTGGCCAAGGAGGTCAGAAGGTTGGGCACGGAGACGGCACCATGGTTATCAGTGGCTCTGGCGATTCTTTGCGCATTTTTGGTCGTTTGTTCGTTGAGGTAAGGGGTTTGAAAATATTATAGTTGAATTTGAAATTTTATTTGTGGAATTTTGATACCCATATTGCCTAGGTTTCGTTCAACTTGAAAATTGCCCATGAGATGGGCAAGTGATGGGCAAGAAATGAAAACGTCATTTTTTGAAAGTGAGGGCTTCGAAATTATTATAGTTGAATTTAAAATTTGATTTGCGAAATTTTGATACCCATATCGCCTAGAATCCGTAAAATTTGAAAACTGCCCATTCCTTGCCCAAGGGGGTGAGCAAAAAATGGCAAAAATGAATTATTCTCTTAAGAACTCAAATTTCGTTCCAAATTTTGAAGGCTCTAAACTTCAAAAACTCGATTTTTCGACATCTGCACTTTTCTGCACTTTTTGCCCATCCCTTGCCCATATCTTCCAATATCGCCAAGTTTAGAGAATATAGGAACAATTAAATGACTCAAGCTATTTGAAGATTTCAGTTAAAATGACGAAAATTCTAAGTTTTCAGTTTTGCGACACTTTTTGTTTTTTTGCCCATCTCTTGCCCATCATTTGCCCAAAACTTGGTAAAATGACCATAACTCGGCTCAATTTAGTACTATTCCAATTTTTTTTAAAGTTTTGAATTTTGTGCATTTAACGCTTCAAAATGAGTATAAACACGACTAGGTTAGAAATATCAAAGTTTTTGCCCATCCCTTGCCCATGCTGCAAATTTCACCAAACCTAGGCAATATGGGTATCAAAACCTTCCAAATCACGCAGAGACTCTATTTTTTAGGCCAAAATTTGAATTTTCTAATTTTCGCTTTCTGCCCATCCCTTGCCCAACACTTGCCCAATGTTCAAATTTCACCAATCCTAGGAAATATGGGTATCAAAATTTTTCAAATCACCTAGAGATTCTATTTTTAAGCTTGAAAAGTAATTTTTGCCCATTTTCAGATACCGTCGAAGCGAATCCAAACCCCTCGAAGCCTGCCTTGGAGCATTGATTCCAGTTCTCTCAGGATTAACTACAGTAGGCATGGTTTCGGCAACCGGACTTGCTTTTCAAAGTATCATAGTTTCCACCCTATTCCTGGTCATTGCCATCGGAATCGACGACGTTTTTATCATTTTGGCCGCATGGCATAGATCGGACAAGAATTTCGACATTCCTGAGCGACTTGCCCTTACGGTACAAGATGCCGGATGCTCAATGACCGTAACCACAATCACCAACTTGGTCTCGTTTGGAAATGGTGTCCTTTCCACGACCCCGGTTCTTCAGGTGTTTTTTTTTGAAAATTTGTGAAATGGGCAAAGGATGGGCAATTTTCCGTATCTCATTCAGATTGGGTTCAAAATTTGTGAAACTTACATTTTTGGGTTTTACAAGTTTAGAGCTTCAAAATGAGTATAAAAACGACTAGGTTTTAATTTCAAACATTTTTGCCCATACCTTGCCCATCCCTTGCCCACACATCGAGTTTTTCAGATAAGGGCATTATGGGTATCAAAATGTTTCAAATCACCTGGAGACCCTATTTTTGAGCTCAAATTGTGATTTTCATCAAATTTGCTTTTGGCCCGCCCCTTGCCCAACCCTTGCCCACAACTTCCGTTTGGGACAGTCTGGGCGAAATGGGTGTCAAAATGTTGCAAATTACCTAGTGACTCTATTTCTGAGCTCAAATTGTGATTTTTGACATTTTTGGCTTTTGCCCATCTTTTGCCCACATCATGCCCAATGTTCGAATGTCACCAAACCTGGGTACTATGGGTATCAGATTAATGCAAATAACCTGGCAATTCCATTTTTGGTCCCAAATTGCAATTTTTGACAATTTTGATTTTTGCCCATCCCTTGCCCAATGTTTAAATTTTCAGACTTTTGCAATCTACTCATCCGTCGCTAGTGTTGTATGCTATATTTACCAATTGGTCATTTTTCCGGCAATTATTGCTATAACTGCTCCAAAGGAGTACAAGAAGTTGGGCAAGATGGAGGAAGAAAAAACATGGGAATTTATTGGACACTTGTCAGTATGGTCGGAGAGGATGTGGCATAAATTGGCAGGTAAGAGGTTTAAAAATATTTTTGTTGAATTTAAATTTTGATACCCATACTGTCCAGGTTTGGCTCAATTTGAAAATTGCCCATTCCTTGCCCATCTCTTGCCCATATCTTTGATTTTCACCAAGTTCAAGGAATATACAGATGCTTTGAATGACTCAAACTATTTGAGAATTTTAGTAAAAATGACGAAAATGCAAGTTGTGAGATTTTGAAATTATTGTTTTTGCCCATTCCTTGCCCATCCCTTGCCCATGCTCCCAATTTCATCAAACCCGTGCAATATGGGTATCAAAATGTTTCTAATTGCATGGAAAATCTATTTTCGGGCAAAAAACAAAATTTTCGACATTTTAGTTTTTGCCCATCCCTTGCCCATGCTCCAAATTTCCTCAAACGCAGGTCGTAACTCATTCAGATTGAGTCCAAAATTTATGAAACATAAATTTTCGTGTCCAACAAGCTTAGAGCATTAAAATGAGTATAAACTTGACTAGATTTGAAACTTTTTGAAAAATTGGAATTTCGAATTTTTGGGATCAAAATCACAAAAATTGCCATAACTCAGCTATTTTTGGTCCTATCTTGAAAATTTAAAAAGTTTTAAATTTCGTACATCAAGAGCTTTGAAATGAGTATAAACACGATTAGATTTGAAATTTTGAAATTTTTGCCCATTCCTTGCCCATGCCCAAATTTCCCCAAACCTAGGCATTATGGGTATCAAAATTTCCCAAATTTTGTGTCCAACTCAAGATTCTAATTTTCAGCAATAATCGAAACCAACTGGATGCGAATCTTAACAATTTCCATTCTTCTCGGTTATTGGTACCTATCGGTTTACGGTATCTTCACCATGGAAACCGACTTGACCATTCAAAAAATGGCGGACCCAAATTCTCGAATCGTCAAATTCAAACGCGCCGGGGATCAAATTTTGAAAGAAATGCAATCGGTAGCAATTTTGGTCAAAAATCCAGGGGACCTAAGGAATCCACGCGGCCTTCAGAATCTCCAGAATTTGATTAAGGATTTCGAATCGGCGAAATTCAGCTACGGCAAGGAGAGCACCATTTGTTGGCTAGACTCCTACCTCGACTTTTTGGCGTTCTATGACGATTCTGAAGAAGATTTCGAAGAATCAGGAAATTCCACTAAAATCCGAAAACCTGCAAATTTCACCTATACGGATTTGCCCAACTTTTTGAATGCGGAATCTCATTTTAAGCCAATGATAAGAATTTCCGAAAAAGATTGCGAACAGAATTCGCCGAAATGTTTGAACAGCTTCATTTTTACAACTGGATTCACTACAGTGGTAAAGTACAATGAAATGTACCCAGTGGTCCAGGATTGGAGGTAAGGTCTGCAAAAATATTACTGTTCGATTTGAAATTTGATTTACAAAATTTTGATACCCATATTGTCTAGGTTTGGTTCAACTTGAAAATTGCCCATTCCTTGCCTATCCCTTGCCCATGCTTCTAATTTCATCGAATTGGGGCAATATGGATATCAAAATGTGCGAAATCTATCATTATATTCAAATTTGACATTTGATTTGAGAAATATGATACCCATATTGACTAGGTTTGGTTCAATTTGGAGTATGGGCAAGGGATGGGCAAGGAATGGGCAAAAATGAAAAAAAAATCGTTAAAAGCTCGATTTTCTTCTACTTTCTGGCAAAGTACCATCCAAATAAGCTGTGCAACGACGAAAATTGTAAATTTTCAGGTTCGCGAAACTTTTTGTTTTCTTGTCTATCTCTTAAGCCCATCCTGTGCCCAAAATTTGGTAAAATTACCATAACTCGGCTCAATTTAGTCCAATTTCCAAATTATTAAAAGTTTTGAATTTTGTGCACTCAACGCTTCAAAATGAGTATAAACACGACTAGATTAGAAATTTTGAACATTTTGCCCATTCCTTGCCCATCACTTGCCCATACTTCGAATTTCCTCAAATTAGGGCATTTTTGGAATCAAAATGTCGCAAATTACCTGGAGAATCTATTTTCAGCTATAAACATAGAAACATTTTGATTTTTAATTTTTTGCCCATCCCTTGCCCATTCTTTGCCAAGCTAAAATCTACCGTATTCAGAATCGGTCCATAATTTGTGAAACGTATATTTTTGGGTTTTACAACTATAGAGCTTCAAAATGAGTTTAAACATGACCAGGTTGGAAATTTTGAAAATTTGCCTATCCCTTGCCCATACCTTGTCCATACTTCGAATTCCATGAAATCGGGGCATAATGGGTCTCAAAATGCGGCAAATTACCTAGCAATTTCATTTCTAGCTTTTAAAAAAATATCAAAATCCCGTTTTGCGCAAGTTAGACGTCTTTGTCCGTCATATGTTTACCTCTTGCCCATCCCTTGCTCATTCTTCGACTTTTGTCGAATTATGGCAATATGGATATCAGGCTTGTTCGGAAAAACAAATTCGGAAAATCGTATTCTCGAATTTTTTCTCGACTTTTTTTTTCGGAAAATCGAATTCTCGAATTTTCTCGAATTTCAATTAGTCAAAAATTACCAGTTTATTTGACAAAAACAACAAAAACAACAAAAAGCACAAAAATGAAATGGAAAACAATAAATTTGTGCCGGAGTCTTTCTGCTTGTTGAAGAATCGGTTGCAAATATTACACTTTTTCCTTCCATCCGCCAGATTTGTCAATACCGCTGAGTATTTTCCCATGTTTAGTCTGAAAATTTCGTTAAATTCAGACAAAGTTACTCACTGCAAAACCAACAATTTTAAGAAAAACTTTTGATGACCTAAAGTCTGAAAAAAACCAAGTGTTTTCAGTGAGAGAAGGTAAAAAATCACTGAAAAATAAAAGAAGTCTATTAAGAACAGTATAAACCGAAAAAAATGTTGAAAAAGTAATGAAAACCCTGATTAAAGTATGTTTTCATTCAAAAAAAATTAATTTAAAAAAATTCACCTTAATCGACCCCGTAAATCGACACCGATTGCGGGTCTCGCCGCGCTTGGGTTACTGTTGCACCCGTTTCAACTATACAAAGTAGAGATTTCCTCTTCACTTTGAACGCAGCATGATTATTTCGAGAAAAAATTTTCCGATTTTTTTCGGAAAAATTTCCGACGGAAAAAATTTTCCGAAAAAAATCGGAAAATCGGAAAAATCGAGAACTCGATTATCCGATACCGACCAAGCCTGATGGATATCAAAATGTTTCAAATCGCCTGGCAATTTCATCTTCAGCTCTAAAAATTGAAGAAAATTAAAAATTTTCGATTTTTAATTTTTGCCCATCCCTTGTCCATCTCATGGGCAAATTTAAAATTTCACCAAACATAGGCAATATGGGTATCAAAATGTCGGAATTCGCCTGGGGAATTCATTTTAGAAAATCTCATCTTTTGAAAAAAGACCCTTAAAGTACTGTATTCCAGAAGAATCGCCGCCAACTACCCTCAACTCGAAGTCTACCCCTACACGGAACGCTCCAACTTCGTGGACCAAACCGTTGACATGGTGGACAACATTTGGAATACAGTAATCTCGGAAGTCATTTGTATGGGTCTGACATTCCTCCTCTTTGTCCCTGATTTGGTCTCCATTTGCTCTGCCGTTTTTGCTCTTTTCTCTGTGAATTTTGGAGTTTTTGGATTCCTATCCCTTTGGGGTGTTGGCATGGACCCGGTGTCCACCGCCTCATTGCTCATGTCAATTGGATTTTCTGTGGATATCAGTGCGCATATCAGTTATCACTATTATCAGGTGGATCAGCCAACGGCAAGGCAGAAGTTGGAGCATGTCTTCACTCATATCGGCTGGCCAACTCTTCAAGGAGGATTGTCGACAATGATTGCGATGAGCCCGATTGTGATTGCTCCAAGCTATTTGGGTTTGGTGTTTTTGAAGGTAAGCGATTGGGCAAGAGATGGGCAAAATTTTTTTTCGAAAAGTATGGCATGATTATACTCATTTCAAAGCTGAAAGCGCGCTGAGATAGAAAATCAAAGTTTTAGAACATTTTTGACAGTCAAAATGCAGATACGGTAACATTTTTTAAAAATTCCAACAACAAAAAAAAATTTTAAAATTTGTTTGTGAACCTACCGTATGGTCCGTATCTCTACAATTTTTGTTTCGTTGATTTTCTATAAACTTTTTTTGAATAATTCGGGTCAAAAAAAGTTATATTTTCTGAAAAAAAATTAAAATTGAAAATTTTCAACAAAAAAAAATACAGTATTTCGAACCTCTATCGTATCTGCATATTGACTGTCAACAAAATTTTTCAAAACCTTAATTTTCACTCTCAGCGTGTTCTCAGCTTCAAAATGACTATAATCATGCTATACTTTCCGAAAAAAAGAATCACCAAAAAGTGGGCGGAGCTAATTTTCTTAAAATATAATCTCAGAATTTCAGAATCACCGAATCTCAGAATATCAGAATCTCAGAATATCAGAATCACTGAATCTCAGAATCTGAGGATCTCAGAATTTCAGAATTTCAGAATCTTAGAATTTCAGAATCTGAGAATCTGAGAATCTGATAATCTCAGAATTTCAGAATTTCAGAATTTCAGAATCTGAGAATTTCAGAATTTCAGAATTTCAGAATCTTAGAATTTCAGGATCTGAGAATCTGAGAATTTTAGAATTTCAGAATCTTAGAATTTCAGAATCTGAGAATCTCAGAATCTAAGAATCTCAGAATTTCAGAATTTCAGAATATCAGAAATCAAATTTTTTTTAAATTTCAAAAATCATAAATTCAAGATTTTTTCAGACTGTTGTCCTGGTTTGCACATTTGGCCTTATCCATGGACTCATCGTTTTGCCGGTCTTCTTGTCCTTCTTTGATGAAGTTGCCGGAAGTTGCAGGTAACGTTTTTTGGCCTAAATTCCTTGAAAAATCTGAAAATTTCAGACGAAAATCGCTGAAAATCACTGATTCTACAACGTCTTCTACACATAATTTGCCCACAACGATAAATATCAAAGATTTAGGTTATTATGAAAAAGATGAGAAATTCTAATTTTTTCGAATTTTTTGAATTTTCCTATAATTTAAAATTGTACCTCAAAATCAAAATTTTTTCTTTCTGAAACTCATAATTTTTGTGAATAACGGGTTTTTATTTGTATGTATTTGTATATATAATTTTTTTTGAATGAATTTATATTTTTTAAAGGTGAGGGGACAGGAGATTTTTCGTAGTTTTATTTTTGTAGCTAGAGTATGCATTCTACCGTGACGGTGTACAACGCTTAATGTCACTCTGCGTACAGCTGTCGTCCTCGCCTTTATGTATGCAATCGGGCGTGCGCTTTCTCTTTGCCCGCGTGGCTCAGTCGGTAGCGGCGCCGCACCTTCAATCATCGCCCTCACAACTTCAACTCCTCGAGGGGCATCTTTGAACGGAATTTCGAGAACATTATTTTTTTCATGTCCCCCCCCCCTTTAAATGTTTTGAAAATCTGAAATTTACAAAAATTTGAAATTCCGGAAATTTGAAAATTTGCCAAAAATCTGAAATTTTTCAAAATTTGAAATTTCCAAAATTTGGAGTTTCCAAAAATCAGAAATTCAGAAATTCAGAAATTCAGAAATTCAGAAATTCAGAAATTCAGAAATTCAGAAATTCAGAAATTCAGAAATTCAGAAATTCAGAAATTCAGAAATTCAGAAATTCAGAAATTCAGAAATTCAGAAATTCAGAAATTCAGAAAAAAATTTGAAATTCAGGAAATTTGAAAATTTGCCAAAAATCTGAAATTTTTCAAAATTTGAAATTTCCAAAATTTGGAGTTTCCAAAAATCAGAAATTCAGAAATTCAGAAATTCAGAAATTCAGAAATTCAGAAATTCAGAAATTCAGAAATTCAGAAATTCAGAAATTCAGAAATTCAGAAATTCAGAAAAAAATTTGAAATTCAGGAAATTTGAAAATTTGCCAAAAATCTGAAATTTTTCAAAATTTGGAGTTTCCAAAATTTGGAGTTTCAGAAATTCAGAAATTCAGAAATTCAGAAATTCAGAAATTCAGAAATTCAGAAATTCAGAAATTCAGAAATTCAGAAATTCAGAAATTCAGAAATTCAGAAATTCAGAAATTCAGAAATTCAGAAATTCAGAAATTCAGAAAAAAATTTGAAATTCAGGAAATTTGAAAATTTGCCAAAAATCTGAAATTTTTCAAAATTTGAAATTTCCAAAATTTGGAGTTTCCAAAAATCAGAAATTCAGAAATTCAGAAATTCAGAAATTCAGAAATTCAGAAATTCAGAAATTCAGAAATTCAGAAATTCAGAAATTCAGAAATTCAGAAATTCAGAAATTCAGAAATTCAGAAATTCAGAAATTCAGAAATTCAGAAATTCAGAAATTCAGAAATTCAGAAATTCAGAAATTCAGAAATTCAGAAATTCAGAAATTCAGAAATTCAGAAATTCAGAAATTCAGAAAAAAATCTGAAATTTCACAAATTTTGAAACTTCCAAAATCTGGAATTTTCCAAAATCTGAAAATTTCTGAATCTGACTATTTATAAATCTGTAATTTCTGAAATCCTGAAATTCCCGAAAATCTGAAACCTCTAAAATCCTAAATTCCCAAATTTCGAACTTTCCCGAAATTCCTGGATTTTCGGGGATTTTCGTCTACGAGAATTCCAAACGCCTACGCGACTTTTTTTCTGTCTACATAGAGTTTTCTAGAAAATCTTATTTTCGAATCTCCGCAACAGATCCGGATTCTTTTAGGACGATGACACAGAAGGAATATATATTTTCAGATAAGGATCTTTTCCTTGGTACCCGTCGGTATCCTCCGCGCATCTCTTCAGAAAGATGAAATTTTTGGATAGAAGAAGAATAAGGCATTCGTTCTGTTCCTCTAAATTTTCAGTTGAAAACTTTTTTCCATTTTATTGTTTAACTATTCAAAATTGACTTGAAAATCGTTAAAAACCCGAAATTCGGCTTTTTCAACTGCCCTAAAAACGGTTCAAAATTATTCAATTTATCTGAAAACATTAGACTATACTAAACTAGACTAGAGCTTCAACTTTGTAGTTGACAACTTTTTTGTCAATAAAGGTTCTGAGGAGATATGCCACGTGGTATGGAAGAGAGCCTCCACCACTTCTACCCCCCCCCCCCCCCCCCCTTGAGATATCGCCTATTTCAGACGTCCCAAAAAGTGCTTCAAATTTGTTCAATTTGTCTGAAAATCTCACAATGTACTAAACAAAACTAGAGCTTCAATTTTGTAGTTGACATCTTATCTGTAAAATTTAGTCCTAAGGAGATATGCCACGTGGAAAAGACTACCCCTCCCCTCTTTTGAAAAGGGGCCACCACCCCCACGTCTGAAATAGGCCCAAAGTGGGACCTCCTTTCCACGTGGCACATCTCCTCAGGACTTCATTTTTCAAAAAAGTTGTCAACTACAAAAATGAAGCTCTAATTGTGTTTAGTCTATTCTGAAAATTTCAGGCGAATTACAAAAATTTGAAGCGTTTTTCAGACATTCTGAAATTGAGAATGCTTCGGGGGTAATGGAGGCCTAGACCCTTTTCCGCGGACATATCTCCTCAGCACCTAATTTTACAAAAAAGTTGTCAACTACAAAAAGCAAGCTCTACTTTTGCTTAGTGAATTATGAAACTTTCAGACAAATTGGGTAATTTTGAAATTATTTTCGAAACATCTGAAATTAACGATGCTTGAGGGGTGATGGAAGCTTAACCGTTTCCCACGTGGCATATCTCCTCTGGACTTGATTTTACAAAAAAGTTGTCAACTACAAAAATGAAGTGCTAGTTTTGTTTAGTGTACTCTGAAAATTTCAGACAAATTGAAAACAGTTGAAGTACTTTTTGGAACATTTGAAATTCTCATTATTTAGTAGAAAAATGAATGTTTATCATTTTTTTCGCATTTTCTAACTCTAAATTTTTCGAATCTTCAAACCATGTATTTTTGAAGTTTAGTCTCGTATCTCTCCCCTTGACCAAACTCCAAAATTCCCCCAATTACGTCAGAAAACCATTCTGACGTCTTCTGTTTTTTTTTTGCCTCTATCCTGAACCCTTTTTCTTTATCTTTTGTGTAAAAACCGGTTTTCAAAATTTCAATTTAGAAAACCAATGTGTTCTAAGGGAAAAAAAACGCAATTAGAACATTTTATTTTAGAAAACTCCATCTGAATTTCTAGAAAAATCCGGTTTCCAATGTATCTGATCATTTTATTTCTAGCCGTCTTTTCTAGGCTACAAGATAGGCTTTGATTTTGATTTTATCTAGCTAGTTTCTAGGCAGTTTTATTACAAGACGCATTCAGTTTTTTGGCGCAAAAATTGCCTCCCCCCCCCTTTCTTGAAAAAGTGCCTTTTTAAAATGCCCCAAAGTGTGTTTTCAACTTTTTTTCAATTAGCCTGAAATTTTCAGAGTACACTAAACAAAACTAGCACTTCATTTTTGTAGTTGACAACTTTTTTGTGAAATAAGGTCCTGAGGAGATATGCCACGTGGTATGGAAGAGAGCCTCCACCACCCCTTGAGATATCGCCTATTTCAGACGTACCGAAAAGTGCTTCAAACTTTTTCAAATTTTCTGAAATTTTCAGATTTTACTAAACAAAACTAGGGCTTCAATTTTGTAGTTGACATCTTATCTGTAAAATTTAGTCCTAAGGAGATATGCCACGTGGAAAAGAAAAAGACCACCCCTTTTTTGCAAAAGCGCCTCTCGGAAAATAAAAGAAGGGGGGGGGGGGGGGCAAAAAGCGCCTTCTTTTCTACGTACCATATCTCCTTAGGACCAAGTTTTTCAGAAAAGTTGTCAACTACAAAAATAAAGCTCTAATTGTGTTTAGTCTATTCTGAAAATTTCAGGCAAATTACAAAAATTTGAAGCAATTTTCAGACATTCTCAAATAGGCGATTTTTCAAGGGAAAGTGGCGACTTCTTCCATTCCACATGGCATATCTCTTCAGGACCAAATTTTACAAAACAGTTGTCAACTACAAAATTAAAGTTTTAATTTTGTTTAGTGTACTCTGAAAATTTCAGACAAATTGAAAGAATTTGAAGTGTGTTTTTTAGGACATTTGAAATAAGCGACTTCTGAGGCGTTGTGTAAATATGCTAATTAGACCTGTTCCTAGTACAAACATTGTACATTTCTGGAAGATTCCAAGGAGATAGAGAAAAAGAGAGAGAGAGAGAGAAACGCAGAGAAATAGACAGAATCATAAAAAGCAGTCAAGTGGGTTACTACTATGCATAAATTTCTGGGATTTTCTCAGAGATTTGAAGATTCTTTGATCTCTTTTCCTCTCCACCTTCTTATTATAATCTTCTCATCTCCATTAGATTCCATTATTTCCCAGGAGGGTGGGGGCGGCCGAATGGTCTAGAACATCGTGATCGTTTTATGATCTTGCCTTGCCGGGATAATTGGTTATGTTCTGGCATTTTGCCCAAAGATCTTTTATAGTTCTTTTAGGATCTTTCTGGCCAGTTCTGATATTTTTTCCTGTTTTATTTTACATTTTGTTGATTTTGAACATCTGGAAACTTTTTAAAAGTTCCAAGCTTTGTATGATTCTTCTATTTCTCTGCGTCTCTCTATCTATATATCTCTCCCTGGGATTTTCCAGAAATGTAAAATTTTTGTACTAGATACAGGTCTAATTAGCATATTTACGCAACGCCTCAGAAGACAACTTTTTTGGTAAAACTTGGTCCTGAGAAGATATGCCACGTGGAATGGAAGAAGTCGCCCCACCACCCCTTAAAAAATCGCCTATTTGAGCATGTCGGAAAATTGCCTCGAATTCTTTAAATGTGTCTGAAATTTTCAGAGTACACTAAACCAGCGTGCCTTATCGACAAAGATTTTCCGATTTTGTCGACAAATTGGCTCTTTTCTAGTTTAGAGGTCCCAAAAAAGAATAGAGGTCCCAAAAAAGAATAGAGGTCCCAAAAAAGAATAGAGGTCCCAAAAAAGAATAGAGGTCCCAAAAAAGAATAGAGGTCCGAAAAAAAATTAGAGGTCCCAAAAAAGNNNCTTGGNCCCAAGAAAAGATAGTGGGCCAAAACTTAAAAATGCACAGATACCGGAATAATGTACTAAAATTTGAATTGTCTCAAACTACTCGCACAGTTCAAATACTAGTACATTATTCCAACATCTGCGCGTTTTTCGTATTTTGGACCTCTATTTTTTCTTGGGACCTCTAAACTTTTTTGGGACCTCTAATTTTTTTTTGGGACCTCTATTTTATTTTGGGACCTCTAAATTTTTTTGGGACCTCTAAATCAGAAAAGAGCCGACAAATTTACCTGACAAATTATCGATAAATTTGTCGATAAAAAACGATAAAATTTTGTCGATAATTGTCGACAAATTATCGGTAAGTTTGTCGAAAGTAATTTATCGACAAATTTATCGAAAAAATTTTGTTGACAAATTGTCGATGAATTTGTCGTTTTTTTTGTCGATAAATTTGTCGAAGGGGGCATTTGTCGACAAATTATCGACAAAAAATTGCTATTAACCGCCGGAATTACTTGTAAATAATTGTATCGTTACCATTTTTCTAGGCCATCTGACCTGGTGGCCTAATTTTTGAATTTTCTAGGCCACCAAACTTTTTGACCTGAAAATGATCTGATGTTA